AAAAAAACAGGTGATCTCAGGTAGAGAGAAACATTCCTTCTCATTCCACCCAGGTTTTACAAAGAAACGGATAATAAGTCACAAAGTATAAGCTCTTCTCATTCTTCATGGTTAACCTTGCAAAATTCTTACTCAAGTCGTAGGACACCCTTGATGAAAATAGCCTCCACATCCTAAGCGCATCACCTCCACTGGGGTGGGTAGCTTCCTTGTTGTGGTTAGGCAAAGTCAAATGATGCTAGTAGCCATCACACTTTTCCAGGGACTGCACACCTTCAGGGTCCTGCCTCCCTCCCCCCGGAAAGTAAAAAATCAGCAAGTTACTCCTCAGGCAGGCAGTCTAATACTGTTATGGATTTTCTAATGCTATGTGCTAAAATAACAGTTGAAAGCCATACCTAGGAAGCCATTAATTTCATTAACTCAAGGCCCAGCATTATGTACCATGGACAGGTCACTTAAGCCAGGTGAGTTTCAAGTTCCCAAAACTTAAGGTTTGGGGATAATGATCGTAACTGGGCTTCCCACTTCACAGAGTTGTCCTTAGGTTCAAAGTGCATGATATACATGTGAACCATGATACACATGTAAGGTGCTGCTTGCAGTCGTCAGTCTAAAGTACAAGCTTTCCAACTTTTTGGATAAAATCTAGATGATCCTTAATTATTCTTTTTTTTAAAAATCATGGTACAATACAGAGAACATACAGTTTTCCATCTTAGCCATTTTAAGTGTACAGTTCTGTGGCATTAGTTGTATTCACATTGGTGTGCTACCATTAAAACCATCCAGCTCCAGAACTCTTTTCATCTTGCAAAACTGAAACACCATACCCATTAAACAGCAGCTCCCCATTGCTCCCTCCTTTCAGCCCCTGGAAACGTGCATTCTACTTTCTGACTATGACTATACAATGTACCTCATATAAGTGGAATCATACAGTATTTGTCCTTTTGTTACTGACGGTTTGTACTGAGCATAAGCACATAGAACCTCAAGGGTCTAGATAATACTGTATTATTTTTGAGCTTATAAATTTAATAAAATATAAATTTGATGATTCCCAAGTTTATAAAATTAATAAATAAACTGAATAGTTAAGCACATGAATAAATTTAAGGGAGCAAAGAAAAGAAAACATAAAGTATCAGATAGTTATCTATACTAGAACCTTGGACTAA